CCAGGGACCTGGCTGGGTGGCCCTGAGTACGCCATGTTCCTTCCTTGGCCTCCGCTCCCTAAGCCAGAGCAGCGCTCTCATTCTGCAAGTGCCCTTCTTGCCCGGGTTATGGCTCAGTACGTAGCCACCGCCTCTCCCTTTCCGCATGGGAGTTGCCGAACATACAGAGAGCCTGCTGCGGGGGTGGCCCTTCTTGCCTTGTGCATGCGCACTGACACTTCCTTGGCCTCTTCACCCCCGCAGAGCGGAGGACCCCAGCATCCTAGCTAAGGCGGGATAGCAAGTGGACATCCCTGACAAGCCCCCTTTGCCCCTCTTCCCTGGGTTTTCAGGCGGCATCCCCTTCGGCCTGAGCGAGTCATGCAAACTTCAGAGCTTTCCTGAACCCACAGGAAGTCCAATGGCAACAAGCTGTTCTGTTGTGTTCTGAGGACTGTGTGGGAGACCCAGGAGTCACACAGAGAGCAGTCACCTTGGGCTCCGTCAGGCCAACTTCCATCTTGATCACGTATCCTCTCCTGGTCCATCCCAACAGCCCAGGTTATCCATGTGCCTCCTCCTCCTCCGAGGCCTGAGCCCCTTAGCGCCTGGGCCAGAGCCCTGGGAATGCAGCCTCCACTCCAAACAAGGTCCTTCAGGCCCCCCTTCGAGCGAGGCCTGCCCGTCCAAGAGGGATGCCCACTGTCAGGCAAAGGCAATTTCCTTCTCTCCCTCTCCAGTTCATTTTATACTCATTAGCGGCCCTTCGAGATTAGCACCATAATTTTTCCTTTACAGATGAGGGAGTGGAGGCTAAGTGCCCAAGTGCCCTTGCCCAAGGTCACGCTGCTCATGAGCGCCGGAGTCTGGCTGCAGGCCATGCTCTGTCTGGCTCCTCAGGCCCCGGGTGTCTCATACAGTCCGTCACAGGTGCTTTGGAGGGAGTCTGTCCCCATGCCCCGGCCTTCAGCTCCGGAGGAGTCTCTGTGCGCGGTGGCAGGCATGCAACATCTCTTTTCCTCTTTGAAAAGGGGCCCCTGCCTGCTCCTTCCTTTTGGAGAAGCAGAGAGGGGTCTGTGTGCTCCCCTGCACCAGTGAGCGATGGCTGAGGAGGATGCTGTAGTAGCTGGAGAGCAGAGGAGAGGACAGGACAGTGGTCTGCGCCCACCACGGAGAACCTGAGCTCCTGGAGATCAGGCCACGCCTACCTGATAGTTCTGGGCATTCTCACACTATCCTCCCCAGGCCTTCCCGGGTGCCGATGGCTGTGACATGCCCCTTGCTCATGTCCTTCCCCTGTTTCCCATCCCTCAGGGTGCCACGGTGCAGACAGACACAGAAACACAGGACCCTCGGTGAACGTCACATTTGACCGCGTGGCTCTGAGCACCCATTTTAGCTCATAGACCTTCCTTTCCTCCAGACTGCGGCCAGGACCAGGCTGTCCGCACAGGTCATGGGGAGACTTACCCAACCTGCATCCATGTGCTGGAGGGGGAGCAGAGATCATCTGTACTCAGGAACTTACCTTCCACCGGGCAGGGGCAGTTTCCATAAAGCTGTCTCAGTGCAGCCTGGCTGGGGGGTGCATTGGCTGGAGTATCCGCCCGAACACAAAGGATGGCGGGCTGGGGGTCCTGGTCCGGGTACCTAGCTAGGCTGTGGGTTCCCCTGACAGGGTGCACACAGAAACTGGTCCATGTTTCTCTCCCACATTGATGTTTCTCTCTCTCTCTCTCTCTCTCTCTCTCTCTCTCTCTCTCTCTCTCTCTCTCTCTCTCTCTCTCTCTCTCTCTCTCTCTCTCTCTCTCTCTCTTCTCTCTCTTTCTCTCTCTCTCTCTCTCTCTCTCTCTCTCTCTCTCTCTCTCTCTCTCTCTCTCTCTCTCTCTCTCTCTCTCTCTCTCTCTCTCTCTCTCTCTTTTTTTTCTCTCTCTCTCTCTCTCTCCTCTCTCTCTCTCTCTCCCTCCCTCTCTCTCCCCCCCTTTCCTCTCTCTTGGAAAAGCAATAAAAAAACATATCCTCAGGTGAAGATTTTTAAAAAAATTTAAAAAATAAAACACAAAAACCTGTCACAATGCAAAATGACTAACATATAAGGAAACAGTTAACAATATGAGAAAGCATATGAGAAAGCAATAGCCAGGCGTCTGCCCAGGGAGAGGGGGAAGGGGCTGGATGCCGTTTTCCCAGGTGCCCTTGCAGCCCCCGGCTCACCCCTTTTCAGGCCCTCTGTCAGGTGCGCCTTCTTCCTTTGCACACGAGGTGCGGAGACAGACACAAGTTCAAAACCCACTCTGCCATTTGCTGGTCTTGCTACTCTCTACAAGCTCCTGGCTTCTCCAGGACTCAGTTTATTCACCTGTAGAGTGGGCTGGCCGTCCTTCTCCTGTGGTGTCACATGATGATGATGCAGATGACAGAGCTCAGCATAGTGGCTGCTGGCCATCAGAGGTGTCTGCCTGCTTTTTGTTTGTGTGTGCTCTCAGTGAGTATTGGAGATCCTATACTTACATGTAACATGAGCTGTGGTGTATCTTTTTTCCCCCCCAATATATTTTTATTGTTTTTTTTTTTTTTTTACAGATAGGAATAGAGAGTTAGAAACATCAATGAGAGAGAAACATCCAACAGCTGCCTCCTGCACACCCCCCACTGGGGATGTGCCTGCAACCAAGGTACATGCTCTTGACCGAATCAAACCCGGGACCCTTCAGTCCACAGGCTGACACTCTATCAGCTGAGCCAAACCGGTTTTGGCGGCTGTGGTGTATCTTAGGATATCTGACAAAACAGGGTGTCAACCTTGGACTGCAGTGGGGTTAAACGTTCCTGTTCTCTGTCACTAAGGAGGTGGAGAGGGAGCCTGAGGGCATGCATCCTTTCAGGGCTGGGCATTGGCTTTGAAAACCCCGCTGAGGAGGAGTGTCCCCTGGGCTCTGAGCAGGCATGGCAGCTGCCCTGCCGGGGCTGTTCTGGCCTCTGGACAGACAGAAAGGCTCCAGCTGGGCAAGCTGGTGGGGTTGCTCGGGAGTCTCTCGCTGTCCCTGTGCTTGCACATGGTCCCCCTGCCAGCGGGAGCTGTTAAGCCAAGCAGCAGCAGCAGCTTCACCAGGTCATCACCCTCTCTCCCTGTCCCCCCGCCCAACTGTGGGGACCGCACTTTCCACCTTCTGTTCCACATGTGCTCAGCACAGAGGACCTTCAGCAACAGCTTGTTCAATGCCGCAGTTTCAAAGTCACCCGCTTGCTTTGGGAGGCTGGCTCTCCTTTACACAAAGGACCTGGATAATTGGGAGTGACCATGAACTCCTCCGTTGAGCTGGGGCCAGGCTGCCCACTGTCCCCAGCAGTGCGTGAGCAGGTCTGCGCTGGCTTGCCAGGCTGCTGGCATGTCTGGGTATCCTCCTCAGGCGAGGGGCGCTTTGGAGTGATGTTGGTAAGGCTCTGAAGGGAGATTCCAAGTCGCAGGCATTTCAGGGCGGATCAGGAAACTCAGCGGCATCAAGACCCCTCTCCCCCTTCCTGTGGCTGCTTTGGTGCGGAGGCAGCCTGGCCCTGTGCTTTGAGGGGACCAGAGAGAAGCTGGAATCCATCCTGTTGCATAAGGATGCTCCTGGCACTGTCACGTCTGAGACATTCAGAATAGGTGCAGTGTATGAAACATTATTGCTGTTTTTATTACTGCTCCTATTACCGCAAAAGAAAAATTGTCATGCACAGATTGTGTATTAAGTTCCAGGTGCAATTCTGAATGCTTTGCAAGCACCATCTCATGCGACTCCCCCTTTTCCTCTGAATGAAGCTGGCTGCTATTGTCACCGTTTTACAAATAAATAAATAAATAATCACCCAGAGATTATATACCTTGGTGAAGTCCTTTGAGGGGACATCTGTGGATTCAGTCTCTGGCCGGGGTTAGCTGCTGTCACGGGAACTCTCTGACGCAGCCATGGTGGGGATGCTGATGACAGAGGAAGTCATGTTTCTGCTCTGATGACTGCCTAAACCTTCGAACGAGCTTTGCTTGTGGGGATTAGAAGACACTTTCATTTGTTATCTCTTTTGTACACAAACATCTATTTCATTTGTATACATTAGGAACAGAATATTCATGATATTCTGTTCTCAGAAGTAATTCAGAGCTCATGTTCAGGACGGGGGCCTGGGAGCAGGGTCCGTGGGAGGCATGGGAGTCAGCCTTGGGGGTAAGAAGGCGTGACCAGATCTGCTTTTAGAATGATGTCCCTGGGGGGCCGGTCTGGGAAAGGAGGACAGAAGAGAAGGAAGGTTGAAGGCTATGGTGTGTTGGAAATGGCAGGCTGCCTTGTGAATGAAAGGAAGGGAGATTCCAAAGCATGGGCACTGGTCAAAAGGGGCTGGTGTTGGTAAGGCTCTGACACAAGTCAGAGGAAAGGACGTGGCCTCATCAAAGGCAGGTCAGAACTCCTGCGGCCTTCTCCTTAGCACATCCTCTGAGTGCTGTGCGTGCTGGTGGCGGCACCCACGGTGGTTTTCCATGGAACCCTGATGAACCCGTTTTAACGAGCCAAAACCGGTTTGGCTCAGTGGATAGTCAGTCTGTGGACTGAAGGGTCCCAGGTTCAATTCCTGTCAAGGGCATGTAAATTGGAGGTATGCAGGAGGCAGCTTGTCGGTGTTTCTCTCTCATCGATGTTTCTAGCTCTCTATCCCTCTTCCTTCCTCACTGTGGAAAATCAATAAATATATATTTTTAAAAAGAATGTAACCATGTTGCATTTATTTTGATGGCTAACACTTATTTACATCAGGTGATTCGTGTTTCCCCTTGTTATATGGTTATGGTTTCTTTTAGATGCCTGAGTTTAAGTAACAGAAAGGAGTTTGATTTATAGGAACATAAATTGTATTCTATGCGGCAAAGCCCACGAAGCAGTGGCTGAATGGTCGCGATAGGCTGGAAGCACGGCTCCCCACTGGTCTCTGGGACCCCCACCCCACTTTCCTGACAGTGTCCTCTCGTGTCTTGCGTGTGTCTGCAGACCCCGTGCACGGCCCGCAGAACGTGGAGATCGTTGACATCCGGGCGCGGCAGCTGACCCTGCAGTGGGAGCCCTTCGGCTACGCGGTGACCCGCTGCCACAGCTACAACCTCACGGTGCAGTACCAGTACGTGTTCAACCAGCAGCAGTACGAGGCCGAGGAGGTCATCCAGACCTCCTCCCACTACACCCTGCGTGGCCTGCGGCCCTTCATGACCATCCGGCTGCGGCTCCTGCTGTCCAACCCTGAGGGCCGGATGGAGAGCGAGGAGCTGGTGGTGCAGACGGAGGAGGACGGTGAGTCAGGGAAGCAGTGGGGGATGTTGGACCTGCTCCAGGGCCATGCCTGTCAGTTCCAAGGTGTTTATTCTTCCTGCTTCTGTAATCTCCCCTCTGCATCTGCTATTTTCCAAGGTGTTCAGTGCAGACTATGCATTGCACAACTCCAGGAGGCGCTGTTCCCATAGAATGTGCCTTGTACGCAGCCCAGCTTCCTGACAAACCCTTCCAGACTCCCTGGAAATTCTTCCTTGCAGCCATTCTCCTCCTTACAACCCCTCACAGACTATACTTCTAGGTGAAAGCAGCAGTGGGGACACAGCTTCTGTCACCTTGACCCCACCTTCCTGCTTGCAGTGAACCTCCACCTTTCGTGGGTACAGCTCTCCCTGGGTCAGCTTCTCCGGGTGATCTGAGTGTTCTGCTTCTGTGCACCTGTTCCCCTCGGCCTCCAACACCAGCTTCTCTCTGCAGCCAGGAGCTGAGGCCCTGAGCTTGGCCTCTGATAAAGCTTCCAGACCTTTCCCCAGATCTGGCCCTATTGTTTCACAGATGGACAGCCCCTCCCTCCAGCAGGTAGAATAATGCCGCTCTGAGGAGGTGGACTCTTGTTAAGCAACACATGGGATAAGAGGCTGAACCTCAGTGCCTGGGTTTCTGCATCTCTAACATGGAGATAAAAGTCTTTCCAGTGCCTCCTAGGTTATGGTGCTCACAAAAAGGGATGGTATATAAGGAATCCAAATAATGCCCAGCAGATTGTATGTTTTCAATAAATGCCGCTGTCATGTTTGCACTAAATTACAGAAAAAATTATACTTATGGACAAAGGACCTTCTAGTACAGCCACCCGGAAACCAAGCACCTGCCCTAGGAAGGCTCTCCAGAGTTCTAGGCACCTACGTGAGCTGGGGTAGAAACTGACCCAGATGCTCAAGGAATGGCAGTGTGGTTAATGCCTGACCTGAGAAGCAGAGGCAGAGCAAGGATGGCTTAGCAGCTCTTGGCCATAGGTTGTCAGACAGGGGGGAGCCAGTGTTGAATGATACCCAGCATGAATATTCAAGACTCAGAAGGTGAATGGTAGGTTTGATCCAGAAGCAGCTCAGGACGTGTGGTTTTTCCCCTGATGCTCTGCCCACCATGGGCTACTTTCGGAGCGCTACCTACATGTGCAGCAGCAAATCCCAAATCCCATCTTTAAGCCCTGCTCCTGCCTCTCCTTTTCTCTTCCTCGTCACCAGGAGAAAAAAAAAATGCACAAAGCCTTTATCAAAACAACGTGAGCACAGCAGAGCTTTGAAATTAAATTTTAATTAAGCAGCATTAATAAAACATTAATTCCTACTCTGCAGAGATGTGTGGACATTGCCATATTAAAAACATGGGCATACGAGAGACCAGTCCTCAGTCTTAGCTATTCCTGAGTTCCTGCCTTGGGAGCTGCGGGCTGAAGGAAGGTCTGGGAGAGCACAGGACCCTCTGTCCACCAGGATGAGGCTCCATCACGTGAAGAGGGGCTCCCGTGGGGCTCATTCATCTCAGGACAGGCAGAGGCTGGAGCCGGGCTCTAGTCCATGAACCAGTTTTTCTCTCCTTGGGCAGTCAAAACATTGAGCTCAAGGTTCAGTCTTCTCTCTTCCTGGTAATATTATCAATTTGTGTGTGTCAATTTTGAGGCTTGCTTTCCCTCTCATCCTTTTTATTTAGGGTCATTATTTTTAAAAAATATATATTTTATTTTTTACAGAGAGGGGGAGAGAGGGATAGAGAGTTAGAAACATCGATGAGAGAGAATCATCAATCAGCTGCCTCTTGGACACCCCCTACTGGGGATGTGCCAGCAACCAAGGTACATGCTCTTGACCGGAATCGAACTTGGGACCTTTCAGTCCGCAAACTGACACTCTATCCACTGAGCCAAACCGATTTCGGCCAGGGTCATTATTTTTAATATCAAAACAGGCACATGGTTCAAAAGTCAAACTATAAAAATGTGCACTCAGAATATTGCCATCAACTCTACCTTTTCCCCACTGTTTCTATCTACACCTGAAAGGAGAGAGAAATAGAAACATCAGTGATGAGAGAGAATCATCGATAGGCCACCTTCTGCACCCCCTACTGGGAATCAAGCCTGTAACCCAAGCTTGTGCCCTGATCAGAAATCAAACCATGACCTCCTGGGTCATAGGTTGATGCTCAATCCCTGAGCCACACCAGCAGAGTTGAAAGGTAACCGAAAATGGACTGAGCTCTGATGGAGGGATGCCTACAGGTCATACTAACACATGCAAAGCTTCTTCCTGTTGGACTAAGTGACCTGGAGATATTATAAAGGGCAAGGAGAAATGCAGTTATGGTGTCCAAATGCTAACTATGAGTTAGGCATTTTGCTGATAGGCTTCATTCGTGCAATTCGTGCCAAACTCTGTGATGTCGGTGATTTTCACACATTGGTGTGGAAGGGAAGCCTGAGGCTCAGAAAGTTTCGGGAACCTGTATCAGGTTACCAAGTATCAAATGGAAGGGCCAAGAAATATACCCCCAAATCTTATCATGATATTCCCCCCTGACTAGTGAAGGTACAATCTTATACCAGGCTAAAACCTCCCTAACATTCTCTCTGCTTTTTCTGTGTGTGTATGCATATAGATGTTTAGTTTTTGCTTGATGAGTAGTAGGTGCTCATTAACTATTTGTTGAGTGAATATCTGAACATCAAAGTTCAAGCCTCTTTCATGATAGCACAGGGCCCTGTTTATATACACTGTCTAAGAAGGGGAGGCTACGTATAATATTCATATCAGCTTGCTAGAGCTGATCATTAGCCTTTCTTCCTGCCTCTGAGCTTCGTGATATCACATGCATTGCTTGACGTTAGCCATGGTAGGGATATTTCCACCATGTAAGTCGGCGAAATATTGGTGTTTTGTTTTTCCCAGAGAGCTTATTGTGAGGCATTTACTAACTCACCAGTGTCTAGTTCCATTAAAAAGATATATTTGACATCTTAAGATGTAAACATTTACCCAGAAAAAGTATTTTTCCTCCCAAAGGCTGGAAAACACAAGTAGATTGGACTTGTCTCAATCTGTTTTATCTCCAGAAAACTCACTAGCAGTCTTATTAATGGTGGCCTCTGAACCATTTTCAAATTATTCTGATTTGTTTTAAGTTCTGATTCTCTTTATAATAAACCATTCAAGTAATAAACATGGCACCTGTAATAAGGGGGAAAATCACCCAGACAGATAAGCAGGAAGAGAAACCTTTGTTGACTCTGAAGGACTTTGTGCTTTTACATAAGCTGGTTTGTTACTTCCCACAACTACCCTCAAGTTCACCATCATTAGCCCCACTTTTCAGAAATGAAAATGAAGGAGAAGGGAAGAGGACCTTCCCTTGATCCCTCTCTGCCTTTCTTTATGTTGAAATGAAAATTTCCCTTAAATTACCACCTGACTTTTAGGTGCAAGAAAACATCTGGTTTAATTGCAGTAAATTTCTATGAACCCACTGACAAGAAGCACAGTTAAAATTAGCAATTTTAGTGTGCTTTTTTTTTTTTTTTTAAGAGAATGAAATTATAAAGTAATTAACCTTTGTTGCAGAACTATGTCAAAAGGATGGAAAGTTACATGCTGTTAGAAGAAGAAAGGAAATTGTGGAACGGGAATATATGTGGATTCATTAAAGAATTATACAGAAAAAAAGGGGGGGGGGATACAACACAGAAGTAGAAGATAAAGCAAAGAAGGAATTCTTCCCCCAGCCCACCCCCTAAGAAGTCTTTTTTTTTCCTCCTTACAATGAGCGAGAGAGAGAGGAAGACCCAGTTGAAGCAAAAGAGAATGACTCTGCTTCATTGTAGAGGACGTCTGACATGGTACGGCAAAGAAGCCTCGGCCCAGGGCTGGGACTTGCTGGCTTTGCCAGTCACAAGTGGTGTGACTGCCCCTCAGCCTTTCTGAACCCACAGGCGATGGGGAAAGGGGTGGTTCAGAGAGTGCCTCCGTGACAGGAGGGTCTGCTCTCTATCTGGGTTCCATCCACTGCTTTGTTGTGCATCCTTGGTTAAATTGGTTGCAGCTACACACGTCAGTGCCCCATCTGTGACGTGGGGGTGACAGTGCCACCAGCCACACGAAGGTGTGCTGTATGAGAGACTGTATGGGAAGCACTGAATGCACGCACTCCCTGTGTTAAGTGGTGTGTGGTCGATATCAGACAATGGCAAGACAGCTTTTTAATCACAGACATGTAATGTAACTAGGGAAAACTAAACCAGGGATCGTTACAAAATTTCTGTTCATCATAGGCAAAGAACTATTTAAAAATAACCTATAGTACCTCTGCAATCTCAGTTTCAAGGATCTCTATTTCAAGGATCTCACCCTGACCATAGAACTGAATGGGTGGAGCAGGGTTTCAATAAAATGTTATTTACTGAACAGCCAGCCCGTTGCCTTTGGCTGCAGGCATAGTCTACCAACCATCGATCAACACTCCTTCCTCCTAATTATTTCCTCCAGTCTCTGGGCTCTAAAATCCACCGGCATGCTAAATATTTCCTCCATTGTTATTTTCAGGCCAGACCTCTCCCCTGCCCTCTGAGAGTCGTTTATTTAACTGCCTGTTCAGCCTAACCACCTGTGCTGCTAATAGTACTCTGGAATAGGACACGTCCAAAGCTAACCTCCCGATCATCCCTCAGCCACCACCAAACTCACTCTTCTCTCTAGTCTTCTCCATTTTAGTGAATGGTCACCCCATTTTATTAGTGGCTTGAGTCAAAACCCTTGATTCCTCGCTTCTATCACATCCACGGCCCTGGCTCTCACAACTCCAGAGAACACCCTTTACCCTGTATTCACTCTGATTGGTGCCCCCTTGCTGTGTGGGAGGCAGCAGTGATCATTTTTCACACCCCACCCACCAGTACTTTCTCCTGATTCACTCTTCAATATAACAAGACATTGACCATTTCTTACAACCTCTACAGCTAGCTCTTTGGT